TTTGTGGTTTCATGCTTGAAGGATATTAACTAAAAATAATTTCTTGTCATTTCTGTTTCTTTTTTTCATCTGAGAACCATCTCTTTTTCTTAACTGAAAAAGGTAGCTATAATATATGTTAATTTGTGTGCTGGCATATACAGCTCTGCTTGGGTTTTCTGTCATTTAAAATTTCAGTTCTAACAGTTTTAACATTTAACATTGCCTTTGGCACAGCTATGTCTGTGAAATCATACACCTATTTCATGCCTCAATTTTGTCGATGTAATAGTTCAAAGTCTCAGTTTTTCCTTATTGTATGAACTGCCAAGAATTTTGTTCAAATCCTCCTCATTTATTACCTTGGCTAATGTCGTCTTCTCTTTGGCATTAATGCCATCCACTTTGTTGCCTCAAAATGCAGCTGTTTGGATCACCTTCAGAGGCACTTTTTTTTTTTTAACCCATTGCTATCCAATGTCAAACTCAATTTCTTATTTTAATGAGGGTCATTAAGGCTCCATTCTTGATGCTCATAAACTCCCACCACATATAAAAATCTAAGTGTTTTAATTATTCATCCTATAGGTAATTTTACTTTTCTGTATCTAAAAGTTTAGGYTGCAAATGCTGTTAATCTTCCAGTGTGATCATATGTACAACTAAGGTACCTAACTGCAAAACTGGTGTGTGCTGTAAAACTGCTACTGAATCTGCAAAGACTGGTTGCAAATATTTGTTTTTGACATAAGCAGGAGGAAGTATTAGATTGATTGTATGCTTTGAATCTCCTCAGATATCTTTCAAGTAGTTTAAAATTAAACCTTTGRGTGAATATAGGAGCAAAATATCCTGTGGTGGATTTTAGAGGAATTAGGTGAAGAGTTTGTGTGAGACAGAATCTAACTGGATAGTTCAGGATGTCACTAATGGAAAATAGTCAAGCTATTTGCTGTAGATTTTCTGTATAGTAAAATACATGATTTACCTGTCGTAGAAACCCATCTCTGGTTAAATAAATCACCTTTTGCGAGTGTGTGCAAGGCAGGGCACACAGGCCTGCGGACCGGCACCTGCTCTCAGCAATCTTCCCCATCAACTTGGGGAGTAAAAAGGTAACCCTGTTKGTTTGCAAGAGATTTCCTATGGAACTGTGCAGACCACATTAAATAGAAGTGTGATAATGTCATGGTGTCTGTATTTTATAACTTAGTTGTGCATTTAAACTGTTTTTTTTTTATAACTGCTTTTTTCCCTGCTATTATTAACAAGTCTTTGTTTCTCTGAGCCCAATATTAATGTGCTCCAGGCTCTATTCCTTTAGAAAAGTAACAGATGTTCACAGTTTGGTGCAATTTTCAGATGAGCAATGCTGTTTATAATAAATTTTCCTAAGACCACCCAACTCATTTCACTTGTTACTTGAACTACGTCCAAGTGTTGATCTCAGGAGATGTGAAAGAGTTGTAATATTTCTGTGCTCCACCCAGTTCAAAAGACATGACTTAGTAGAGATGGAATTTAAATATCTATAGTTCCAATCCACATAGAAAGTCAAACAGAGCATTATCACACGTGCTGAGAAGTGAAGGTGACTTCCATTCATTTACATCTCCTTGCATTTCAGGATGCATATTGACAAGGTCTGCACAAAATAAGATTATAAGATAATGRTGAATAAGTGAAAAAGGGAAGCACGTGTTACAGGAGCAAAAATAAAAGAAACTTATCCTCGCAAAACACAAATTTATTAAGTTGAGAAAAAAATAGAAATGCAAATATTTAATACAGTTTAGGATGAGGAGAAGGGATGGTGAGAGAGGTGTCATGATTCTTTAGAAACAGCTACAATATATTTTGTGATGCATAAATCAAAAAAAAATGTACTTCTGATGTGTCTATCTGGGGCATTACATTTTGTCTTAAGCACTTACCTGCAAAAATAATGTTGATRAAGTATAGGGATGTTAAAGAGTATTGAGGAGCCTTAAGAGAGTGAAAGGAAGCCTCTAATTCATGTCTTTGTAACTAGGATAAATCCCAGGGACTCAGTCATGTGGGTTTTGTGCTGTCAATCTGTGGAGCATCTCCCAGAGAAAGAAAGAAACCCGAGTGACTGAGACTGTGAAAATTAAGCAAACGCTTCTGAATCGGCACTAAAAAGTTCTGAATGAATTTTTTTTTTTCAATTATTTTTTTCTTTCTGACATCTATGGCACTTCGTGCTTAACTAAATTAGTGCAATGTTATTTTGGGCCTATAAACTGAGGAATGGGGGAAGAAAYGCACAGGGAGGTTGCTATGGCAACGGTGGCATGCGACGTCGCTGGCTCTGTGGGAATGCAAGGATTGCTGTAGTGTCACCCCTGGCTCTATGGGAACACGGTTGCTGTAGTGTCACCCCCGGCTCTACGGGACCACAGCGATTGCTGTAGTGTCACCCTGTGCTCCTGTGAGCCAGTTCCCGAATGTGGAGACACTTCTAGCAACGCCATCAAAACCCATGGTCCCATTTTTGCCATGGGCCGCGGTAGCTCTGCGGCGCGGCGCGAGTCATTTCTCCTCAGTTCCTCCCTGCACGCAGCGTGGCCGGGGGCCTGGACTCGCATTAYCGTCAACGTGGATGGGTTTTAAGCACAGCGGAGGCTCGGCCTGGTCCRAGAGCGGCGGGATTTACGTACTGGTGTGTGGTGGTGGCAGGCCCAGTGTGTGAACGCGCAGCCTCCTGGGCTGCCCTAATCCCCCGCTCTCCAAGGCCTTTGTGTGGGCTCAGCCGCGCGCCCGCCAGCCGCGAAGGTGCCGCGTGAGCGTCTCCCTTTCAGCTGCGGCCAGAAGCACCGAGCGCGAAGGAAACGGGGCTGCTGCAAGTCTCTGAAAGAGAGGGCTTTAATTAAAAATAAAAAAAAAACCCTCATTCATTAATCCCTGCACCACACTGCTGTCTTTTCTTCCCCTCTTTTTCAGCTAGCAGCCAAGGGCAAACTGCTCTTTCAGTAATAATTCCTGCATGCTGTGTTTTCTTTTTTTTTTTTCCCTTAGTTATTGAAATTCCATCTTATTTGGAAAAGGAAGAACCTTTTGTCACCACCTTGGTTACACACGTCCTGATAGACACGGCAAACAATCTTGCCGCTTTCTACAGGCTCATGCTAGTGCTGACCTGAATATGTCCCTGTCTTTTGAAGAGTGACCTGCCTTACTCTGCAACAAAAGCCTTATGCTTTTAAATCTAATCTTAAAATATTCTCTATCTCCACTTTTTGTTTAGTTCTAAAACAATCTTGAGGAATGAGTGGCTTGCTTTTCTTTTTTCCTATTCTTCTCCCATTGTTCTTTACACAAATGAAATAAATGCCGAAATTCCCATTAGAAAGCACACCGGATGCAGCCTCCGTTCCAGCGGCAGCCCCGTTTCCCAGGAAACCACTCGGAGCAGCCTGAAGAAGATCTAAAGCGCCTAGATCCAGTGCGGAAATGTGCAGGCAGCTCTGAAATGGTCTTTTAAGGCAACAACTGCCAAAGGCCTTTTCCAAAGGCCTTTTCCAAAACCAGGGTGCGAGAGCTTCCTGGGAGGGGAACCTTTGGACGGGTGTGCAGCACATTTCCAGCTGGGTAACACTSCGCACAACCTGCAGTCCTTTTCCCTGGGGAGCGTGAATGATTCCCAGGGCTGCCACGCTGTTTTCATGGAGTGGCTGCCAAGTCCCTGGTAGCCGGCGTGAGCCTGAGCGAAGGTGTCATGGCGAAGGGCAGCGCGGCCGCGGCCTGCACCGTGTCGGGGGCTGCCGCCGCCGCCGCTGAGGGCGAAGGAGAACCCCCCTAGTCTGCCCGTAAATCCTCCCCTACCCTGTGAGCTCTGCTGCCCTGTTACTTCACAGAATCACACAATGGTTAAGGCTGGAAGGGACCTCTAGAGATCATTTATTGGTGGAAAAGTGTTTCACCCCCAGAACTGGATTTATTGATAAAATAAAAGTATTCAGAAGTGGCATGTTTGGTGGGTTTCAATCAAGCTYAAGCTCTCTCATGTTATTATTAAACTACAGTGTCACATTAAGGTACTGCAGCTCTTTTTAAAATTGGATTAACCCAGTCACCCCGTGGGCAGGGAGATTGGATTTGCCCATGCACCGATTTTGCAAAAACTCCATTAGCTTTATTATTAGGATTTATTAATTTTGCGCCTGCTTTTTCTGGAGTATTCACACTTCCTGGCCATGACTTTCTTTTTCTTTTTCTTTTTTTTTTATTTTGTGACCTTTCTTCAAACCTCTCTGTCTTCTGCTCACAGTAGGGTTTCCATATGTCTCCTTTATGTCATCTTATCTTTACTGCTGCTAATGAGTTTGAACTGGACCCAGTAGAGAATTTTTCATCAGAATGACTTTATACTAGAAGTTTCTGTAAAACAAATTTATTAAATTAAAAAAATCATTTCTATCAGAAAAAGGAAAATGTATTAAGTTGCTAAGATCAGTTTGGCCTAACTAACTGTGCGAGGTTTTATTGAATTGACTTTAAGAATTTCATCTTTGAGTTAGCTGAAGAAACAAAAGCCAAAGCCCTTGAAACTGTATGCCCATAGATGTGCACACTGTATCTTTTGTTATTAACAACTGATATTTTTGCAAAACTAATTTCCAGAAAAAAAATAATTAGTGAATTTCTTCTAAAATAACTGCTGGTCCTTACAATAAGTGGCACAGGTAGGCACAATTTAGCTGTGTTTATAACGACTGTTCCAAAAAAAAGAACATGCCTGCTCCTGTTTTTCCACTGTGAAGGGGACAAATATGTTGCTCAACACTTGTTCTATTAAGAAATAACAAGGAACATAATTTATATATATAATATGACAATTTATATATATGAATAAAGATATGACTTTGTTTCTGACATACTCTGGTACTGAAAATCATTCTGATTTATTGGTAACTGAGACTGTTAAAGATCAAAGAAATGTCAATGTGTTTATACTTCTATTTTATTCAATTCAAAATTTTGTCTTTCCTTTTTTTCAGAATGATCAGTCTATGCAAGATATGCAGATGATAGGAGGAGATGATCTTTCGAAGCTGACTGGAAAGGTTTGTTAATTTTAAATTTAAGAAAGACAATACACCCACTAAAAAGAGCTGAGAAAAGCTGTCATTTTGCACGTTAGCTGTCATTTTCAAAGTCAGGTACTAATACTTCCATRGATGGATTATCTATTGGGCTGTATATTTTTATTAATTTTTGGAATCAGGGATAAATTCATCTCAATTCAATTGCTGTAATGCCATTGCTTTCACATTGCAGATGCCTAAAAAGGTCTGATGTAGGCCTCCATGCCAGTGCAGGCATTTCCCAAATAGTGGTAGGTACTACCAGAGATGTCGTGTAGTAAAATTTGTGCCAAAATCCTCCCTCCGAGCTTCTTAATATCTTGAAGTGTTATTATTTCTGTTTGTGGTGCTGCAGGCAAACRAAGTGCACTTTGAATATCCCTGTCCAACAGATGAGCAGTCTRATATGGTTTTACTTAGCTGTTTAAGGTTCAGTTATGGACCCTGTCACACAGCTAATGCARTGGGGTGCTCTATTTCAGCATCAGGCAGTCTGTGAGGCTAAATGTGTTTTGCACTAGGACTGCACATTTGTGGTCATGAAGGAAGGAGAGGTCTGGTGCAATGAAAAGCCTATTTAGTCCAAGCATGTTGATACAAAGCAGAACTTTAAGAAGGAAGACTGATTTCATTAGGCAAATAGTCTATGTGGAAAATGTTCAGAAATGGATATTCACTTTTGCATTAAGGCAATACTTATTTTGTTATTTGTGCTGTACGTGCAGTTACTCTATGATTAGCTGGCACTAAACAGCATCAGTTATTTCACAGCTCTGAAATACAGCACCAGTAAGCTCATTTTTTCTGTTGTACTCTAGCACACTTCAGAAAAGGAAAAATTAATTTAAAGTATTTCATTAATATTAAATAGGCATTGATGCAACCAGCTAGTATGTTTTAAAGAAAAAATACTATTATGCTCAGGCCATTTTAGTGATACATACGTCCTGAAATAGCACTTCCAAATTTGACTGGGTGGGTTTTTTTCCAGATGATCACTAAAGCATTAATCATATTCTTGTGTAATATTTATCATTTGCTCCTTTTTAATATTCAAGCACTAGAGCTACCTGTTTTTCTGCAATGCTTTTGCAAATGTCTCTCTGCTTCATAGGCAGAGCTGGCAGTGCAGCTCTTAACGTTACCTAATATTCCTCTTTCCCAGCTAACCGTGTCCTTTTTCACATTGTAGGCCCAGCTCTTCTTCCCCAACTCTCCGTGCCAAATTTTCTTGATGAATCTATCTCACCAGGCTTATAATGAGGTCCTGGTTCCACTTCCTTCTTGTCTCAGGACACCTGTGTGCTCATGTGTACATATGTGTGTAAGAGAGAAGGAAACTTTCCACCCAAACAGTTCTGATCTTTCTAGAAACAAGTTAYTGTTTTCTTATACTGGAAACCTTGGTGACGTTCTGCTTATTGACCGTGTCCTCTTGTTCCCAGGTGTGCAAGAAAGTTGTTTCTAGGTTAGAAAATACTCGTGGAGAGAAGGGAGTGGGAATAGAGCCTAGGAGCGTTGGGCTGTGGGGCTGGCGCCGAGGGTGAGCGTGTAGGGGAAGTTTGGGGCTCAAAGCTGTCACCGATGGGGAGGCACCCGGGGATAGGGGCTAGGTGAGGAGAGGCAGGAGCGGAGCGGGAAGCGYGGGCTGGGACTGGCAGGGCTCACAGGCTGCAGATGTGCCATGATCCCCTGACACACACACCTGGGACTGGTGAAATGGCACTGTGAACACCAAAAACAGGGTTTCCTCCAGCTTCATTTTAATAATTGAAAACCTCACATGCAAAACCTGAGCTCAACTGTTCCTACTTAAACATCTAAAGTTGGATACATGAAGGAGTGGCCTTATGTCCACAGATGCCAATTCCTCCATCTGTTGTTGACTTAAGCAATTAGTACAAGTATTCAGCACATTTTACTAATCAACCATTTGCAGACTGATTCAGAGCCTCCTACAGTCAATGTAAATCTTTCCTTGAAGGGTTTTTTTTTTTTTTAATTTAATTTAATGCTTTAGTTTAGCTGTTGCCTTTTGAAACTTCCAACTTCAGTAACCATTTAAAGTTGCTTGGTGTRTTAGTGGAAGACTTGCAGGTAGAATTCAACATCCCTCTTTCKGAGTGAAATGGACACTGCTGCCTGCTTGAAATCCTTATTCACAAAGGGTTGTAATTATGTCAAAAATTAAAATGCCAAATTAAAACCTATTAACCTAATGATCATGGAAGATGTTTTCAGAAGTTCTTGTACRAACTCAGAATGTAAGTTCCATTAACTTTCTGTCAGGTTCAGGAACATAAATAACTAAAACACTTGAAAACTACAGACAAAAGATATTGAGATTTTGATCTTAAAGTAATATTCATTAAGTAATAATACATGGAACATCAGCTGTCCTATAATTTTAGTTAATATAGAATAGAAAAAAATAAGACTTTATGTATTTCTTAACAGCTATCTCCTTCCCTGTACTACTTTTTATTGAACATTGATTTCTGAGTGGCTTCATGAACATGCTGTTCTTTGGCAGTGTTTCTTTCTGGGAAAGCTTTAAGAAAGCAAAACAATTTAAAAGCCAATTAAAAATAWACTGTTAATGCTAATAGCTCTTCAGGAGGAAAAATATCTCCTTGGTACCTTAACATTGAGAACATTTGAAAACAGGGAGGTAATTAAGAAAACTAAAGGCAATATGAGATATTTATGGCAATTCATGTAGATAAGGTAAAAGAACAAATAACCTATAAGAAGAATACATAGTACTGCATAATACCRTAATAATTCATAACACATTTTAAAGTGTTTGTAGCATATAAACAAAAAAAAATTTAAAACCTGTATAATTTCAGTAGGTCTACCTGTACAAGTGCTGTGAATTATCACTGCTATTTACCTCTTATACTTTTAGGTGTGTGTATTTTTTCTTAATATGTTGTAAGTAACTTGGCATCTGTGTGGCGTTTGTTGAGGGGAAAGGAATAATTATTGTAATCTGATATCCAGAAGCGGGACAAATGCMGAATTCAGAGATGTGCTTCAGCCTTTCTTTTCAATACTGATGTGTCCTATTTTTTTTTATTTTATTCAACCATTTCCTCTGCCCACCGTAAGTTCCAGCAAGAGTATGGAGAATTGTTTCTGTATCCTTCTCCTAAATATGTTAGTATTTGAATATTTAATAAATGGTCCATGGGGYAGCTGTGCAACACAGAGTTTTATTCTCTTGCTTCTGCAGTAGTCGTGTTCCCCATTCATCTTTACATCCCAGCGTTTTCCTGTCACACGTTCAGTCAGGGCCTTTTTCATCTTTTCAGTGGTTGATAGGTTTGGAGCATCTCAAAACATTCTATCTCTTCTGTGCCTCTACTTAATCTGTAGTCATTTTTGCCTTTCTGCTTTTTTCTTCATAATTAATTATGTTTTATATTGTTTGCTCTTGACAGTTACCAACTTTAACTGCTTTTTTTTTTTCTCAGCAAAAGATACTTTTTTGTTTTTCCCTGAAGTTAAAAAGACTTTTATTTGCACTTCCTTCTTAGCTAATCTGGTCTACTYTTACTTTTCAATTATTTATTCTTTYTTATTCTGRAKGAAAGAAAGTACAGAGAAAACCTTCCACACTTTCCRCCCTGTTTTCCACGTGGAATTTGTTTCCACCTGTCCACCTGKTTTTACATCATATGCGTTCTTAATTCTCTTGATTGCACCTCTGTCAAAAATCCTCTCCCAGCTCCAAGAAAACAGACATTTTGCCATCTAGATGAGAGGATGGAGACAGTGATCTGTGCATTACCCTTAGACTGATCGTGCTGCTCTGCCTTCCTTAAGCACAAGAGCAGCATCTGTGGAAATGACTGTGGGCAGAAYGTGTGGGTGCAGCCTTGTGACCTTTTCTAGAGTCCAGCCAAAGCTCCTACTTAMACTTCCGATCTCCCAAGTGTTTTCCACATTATTTTCTGTCCTGATGAGGTGTGTCTGTAGATTCTGTCCACATGCACCCTGCTAAATGATTTCTGTTCTAACAGCCATCCTTGTGGCCCCCCGTGGACCTCCTCGCCAAGACCTCATGCATGACTGCGTAGCCACTGTTTGTTGATGATTCTTCAGCTATAAATCATGGCCTCTTCAAAGCTGAAGTTGCCTTGAAACATCTTGTTTAACCAGTAGGACCTGAGGTTCCCCAAACAGAGCTCTAAGAAAGTGAGGGCTGTAGGTGTGATGAGTAAGCGGGTAATTGGGTAAGGATTTAGCTTGAGCAATCACATTATCAAATTATGTACCCTGTAGAAGATACAGACTACACATGATAAGAAAGTATTTTTAGAACTAATCTTACAGGGAAATTCAGATCTTTGAATGGAAATTGATTTAAAAAGATAAAGTGCCCCAGGAAAAAAATAGATATAGGTAAGAGGGAGCTATATCTTTCTTTTATCTTTTATATTTTAATTGCTTGTGGAATTTCTTGTGCTTGTATTTTAATTCCACTTGTGGAAATGGTTATTTAAAAGAAAGCACTTTTCTTTTTCTTTTTTTTTCTTTTATCAACATCTTTTTTATTCATGCATATTTTTAAGCTGGTGTTTCTAACACTATGTTATATGTATCACCAAATAGTTTAAGAATTATCTTGTCCAGGAGGAAGATAGCAAGGAATTCAAGCCAGCAGTGGCGTGTCTTGAGCCMTGTGGCCCAATTCACCTACCTTTTCTTCACTTCACTCAGGAGACCATGTTTACTACTGTACTCTGTAGGAGGAGGTGGTTCTATAGGCTTGGATAATCTCCAGCAGCCAACTGGAATTTTATTAGGAAAAGGATATGTGAGACAGAACAAGTGTCGAGTGTAAAGCCTAAATGCCTAAATACAAAGTTACATCTGGACAGTCACCCAGATCCAATGCTAGAACCAATGCTAGAATCCATGCCTTTCTCAGCTCTGTAAATCCAGTGATGCATTTAAAGGCATAAGTAACA